TTTCTACTTTTCGCTCCATATTCGGAGTATGCTATTGCAGAAATTCCAGATGGTTGTTCATCTTCTTTATCATATCAGCAAAATATAATAAGAAACTTGAAATCTTTTGTTGTTTAGAATCCCCTACATTCAGCTTCCATGCAAGGGGAGTGAAAACTTCCCCAGAAGTCGCAGTACTATCAGTGCTCGCCATTTTTGTTTTTTTTTAGGGTTGAAGGAAAATGGTGAATGGAGAAAATAGAGTACAAAAGAAAAAGAGGAAAATAGAAAAGACAATGGCAGAACAACGTTAGAAACAAGATAACTGCAAATATATATATCAGTCAATCAAATCCAAAGTAAACAATTATTACTTATTCTTGAAAGAACGAAACCTTGTATTTCCCAAAAAATATTAAATCACTTTTATACGTAAAATATTTGCCTATAGTACAAACAGTGTAAAAATCTTAAAACAAAAAGGAATTTTAAAAAAAATACCTTATATACGTAATATCAATATACATATGTATTAACTTTTTAAAATAACTTCCACTTTTTTTTTTTAAAAAAAAAAAAAAATTAACCTCCATTCTTAACTGCTCCATATATTTAGTACGATAACTTCCATTTTTAACTTCCATTTTTAACTACTCCATATATTTTTTTTTCAAATCAAATAATTTTAAAAATTGTAGTTATGTTAAACAGTTTATTAGTTTAATTAGGGAATATTTATTTGATATTATAAATTTGACACTAAAATAACAATATTCACAAAGTTATTTACAAACATAAAAAAAAAGGTGTACAAAAACAGATGATGTATAAAAACAACTTTGAATTTTTACATACACTTATGTCCTTTTTAAAACTCTAAAAAAAAAAGAAAAATAACATAGCAATGGTTGTAGTTTAAATTTTTAAGATTGTTTTTCAAAAAAAAAAAACATTCTAATTTAGAATTATCAGACTTTTTGTTGTTTTTAAAATAAAAAAAACTCATATGCATTTTTTTAAAAAAGAAATAAACAATACAACAATATAAATTTTTATAAATTTAACAAAAAAAAGATTACAATACATTTTCTTTAAATTGAAATTTCTTATATTAAATAACAATATAACACTTAAATACAAACATTTATGATGATTTTAATAATTAGAATAAATAACTAATAATCACTTTTAAACCAATAATTAAATTCAACTTCTGTAAGGTTGGATTTCTTATATGTTTTATTTATTATATCAGTTGTGATTTCATAGTTTACAATGGTTAATTATAGATGTTCATTTAATCATATATTGTTACAAATGAAAAAAAGATAATTATTGTAAAATAATTACATCCTTTTTAAAAATTTATATAATTACACTTGAGGGACACACTAGGTATTTGAAAATATAGCATCTATTATAAAATATGAAAAATAGAAAATTATAACTGATAAATTCTCCCACAACGGGTACTTGTAAATATAGAACTTTTTTCAAATCAAAATACATCAATTTGATTATATATCTCTCCTTAGTTTTGTTTGTAAAGAGATACTACATTTACAAGCACCCACTACAGAAAAATGAGATTAGAGACAATGGATTTTATTTTGGGTGCCATTGTTATGAAGAATAACGTTCTCAGGTGGAGATGAAAGTGAAATAGGTGGAGACAGGAGAAAAAAAAAAAGTAAAAAAAAGGTGAATATAAGTATTTGATAAAATGACGGTTTTCGAGATGTGAGAAGGCGAAAAGGTGAAGTAGATAATTATGATTTGACAATTCAATGGATGAAGGTGGTAAGTACATATGCTGATTTGCATGTATTTGGCACTAGGGATACGTGAAACAATATTTAAATAATCTTTGAAAAATCAGAAAGAATTTTACACACATACAAAAAGTCATTTACAAAAAAAAAACAATAACTTTTTTAATAAATATTCAAAGATATATTCATCAAATATTTTATTCTAATAATATTGTACATGCACTCTTAAAAAGTAGTACTGCGACAAGGTTAGTGATTACCCTAAGAAAATGCACTCTTATTTAACATGCCCATCTCCTATTTAACTATACAATTTTACACATTTATTTCTGAAACTTTAAATAAAGCTCAGTAAATTACCGATAAAGTCGAAGAAAAAATGGAACACTATAGACTATTAATATTTTGAAAATGCATACTAAAATCTTTGAACAGTGTAAAAAACTATATTTGAATTTAAAATGACCTCTAATAAAGTTATATTCATAAAGTCCAAATATAAAATTACAGGAATTTATATATTCTCATCTTCTCGAATGGGTTCAATACTAGCAAGTCTTTCAACCAAAGCCGGATAAAAGATCCTTACATAAAATGTCCTATTACCAGCATGATAAATATACATTATTTCACCATCAACCAAATATTTTACATTAACGAAACTTTCCCACCCAATATCAAAACACATAATACTTTTCGTATCTTTACTAATCTTCAATAGCTGCATAGGCCATATACGACTATTAGGGCCACGAAGAACTTCCAAAGGACTGCAAACTTCAGCCAACAAGCAAGTCCATTCTTCTGGAAGTACCTACAATATTCACAAAGTTATTTACAAACAGAAAAAAAAAACATACATAATATTTAAAACATAAATTAAATAACCTACCAACATATGTCTACATGCATCTCCAAAAATAACAATATGACATGGCAGATTACTATACATCTTTACAATTTAGAAATTATGATTAATATGTTATGGTTAAGTAGAATCTGTATTTATATACAATCAAATCACACTAACAATAACCAAGTATTATATTGTCAAAGTGTTTTAACTATGTGTACACATGTTTGACCTAATTAAAAATTAAATATGAATGGAATTAAAGTTTCATAATATTTCTCAACTTATTTAGACTAAACAAGTTGAATTCTACATTAATATTCATCAATACATTTGAATTAAATAAATATATTAAATTTTAATTGAAAACAACACTTGACTAACTATAATAGTCAAAATCAATAACAACCAATAGTCAGGTATTTTTTTCATTGTAACTTATTTTAACGATAATTCAGATTATAACTTTAAACTTATACTAAAGATGAAAGAAAAGTATAAACTCCATAATAAAGAAGGGGGCATAAAAAAACTGTAGAAGCTAAAACAATTCTTTAACACTACAATTTCGAAGTTATGAACAATTTATTCTTATCTAAAATTTCTTTAATTTTTACATCTAAATCGTCAACCATAAATTTCTAAGGTAAACTAAAAGCTACACTTAATATACATGTATAAATTTCTAAGAAAATTAAAATAATAACATTTATTAATGTAAAGGTATAGTTATATAGTCTATAAATAATCATATATTAATGGTTATAATTAGGAAATTTTTAATAATGTGTTAAATTTTCAATAGCAATATTCAGCTTACCTTTAAGAGATGTTTAGAAACCAAAAAATTAAAACTAAAGCAGAAATTGTTAACATTAGATAAATATGTTAATATAAGAAAAATTTGATTTAATCATGTGCATATCGTAAAAAACATAAAACTCAAGTAATTCAGTTCTGAAAATATTAAGCTCAAATATGAAACTTATCTCTATAAACTAATATTCTGATAAAATTTATGTAAAATATCTAATTTCTTAAAAAGATATAATGAAATTATTAATATAAAATAAATTTATTAGTAAACAAAGGACAGAACACTTATAAAAAACTTTTTAAAACACATATTATTTCTCCTTTTTAAGATTCCAACAAAGATATTAAAAAGATTGGAATAAGTCAAAGCATAACAATGTTTTAAGAAATACATACTAACGGAGAACTACAAAAACAAAGAAGGTTATATTAATTTGTTTTAGCAAAAACAACAAAAAAAATATACTAATGTGAGTGTCCTATGATAAATTTCATCTTTTTAAAAAAAACAAAAAAAAAACAAAAAAAAGTACAAATTTCTTTATATACAAAGGAATTGATAATGTAACATATAAATATTGATTTATATTATGGAAAAAAATTAAACCTAAAAATGTTAAAAGTAATGTTTTGTCTTGATGAATTATCGACCGAAGATCTGCAACCGCTGAAGCTTTTCGACAAAGTGAGCAGAAGAAGACGAGGCTGAGAATTATACATTCTGAACACTTGGCTACTCTGCTACCATTACATCTTCCAGAAGAAGATATTAGCTTTTGTAGGTCTAAGCCGAAAGTACCAATATGGTAAGAAGGATGTTTGCAATGCTTTTCTCCATAATAACTCCATCTTTAAGAATAGTAGAGCAGTGTCTAGATGGTTATACCCTTGCTTTTATATTTATTTACGGCAAATGCGTCAACTAAACAAACATAAGTTTATCTGTTTCCTCCTTTTGTGAATCCATTTCGGCAAATATACTTTTGTTCGAGTGTGCATGTTATATGTGTTGTTGTATGTGTCGAAGACATACTGTTGTGAAAGTGTAGTCATCCTATATCCGAAAGCGATTTAGGCTTCTAATGAGAAGACTCGCTGGATACTTTAGCAACACGTGTCTATATGCTGCCTCTTTTTTTTATGTGAAGCCGAGCTGAAAACATATTGTGAAGACTCGGCCACCCTCTAGCCGAAGATGAGGTTGGCCCCGAGGAAGTGAATTTGCTGGTTATTTTGGCAAACACCTAGGTTCACTAGTAGAGAAATGCTCATTTGCGTCGCCTCATTTGCTTCGCTTGTAGAAACAAACTAAGCAAATGATATAATTTAAGTTTAGTTTAAAATATTTGCGTCGCTTATTTATTAAAAGTGCGACGCAAAACATTGACATAGGTTGTTTGCGTCGCTTATTTATTAAAAGTGCGACGCAAAACACTGACATAGGTTATTTGCGTCACTTATTACTAAAAGAACGACGCAAATAATAATGTCATTTGCGTCTCTCTTTTAATAACATTGTCATTTGCGTCGCTCTTTTAGGAATAAACGACGCAATTAGTTATTGCTACAACGACCATTTGTATTCCAAAACTGAATACAAAATAAAAAACCTTTCTAACTACCTCCTTCCTTCGTTCCCAAAACCTTTCTAACCACCTCCTTCCTTCGTTCCCAGCAGCAGCATAAGGCACGAATTCGAGCAAAAATTCGAAGGTAATTAAGCTACCTCCTTCATTCATTCCCAGCAGCAGCATAAGAAGAATTTTCGAGCAACGATTCGAAGGTAAGCTGCCTCCTTCATTCGTTCCCAGCAGCAGCATAAGCGTGAGGTCTACATTCGTTCCCAGCATAAGAAGAATTTTCGAGCAAATTCAAAGGTGTAAAACCTCTTTCTAGCTACCTCCTTCATTCGTTCCCAGCAGAAAATTCGAGCAAATTTTCGAGCATAAACGCACAGGTAACGAACCCTAAACTTGTGGTATATACCCTAACCTTGTGCAGCGAATTCAAAGGTGTTCGAACCCTAATTTCGTTGGTTAATGTATGTAAATTTATGCAGCGATTTCGTTGGTTAATGTATTGATTTTGTTGGTTAATGTATTGGTTTGGTTAATGTATTGGATTTGTTAATGTATTGATTTGGTTAATGTATTGATTTGCGAATATATGCAGCGATTTCGTTGGTTAATGTATTGATTTATGCAGTAAATTTATGCAGCGAATTTATGTAGCGATTTCGTTGGCTAATGTATTGATTTTGTTGGTTAATGTATGTAAATTTATGCAGCGAATTCGAAGGTGTAATTTGAACCCTAATTTAGAGCATAAACGAGCAAATTCGTGCCTAATAATAGCGAATTCGAGCAAATTTAAATAGAGTATGATTTTGTATCTTTTTATTGCAATTTGACATGTTATTATGTTGATTTTCTGTATAGTAGAAGTTGTGAATTGTTTGTTGCAACAATGGGTTTGTGGGGTTGGAGTTATATTATAGTAGCGTACCGGATTTACCAAATTGCTTGATCCAACCCTGTCAATTTCTAGTTTTCAGGCGGCAAATTTGATTCGGAAGGCTGAAATTCTTGTAAAGTTAGAGCTTTTGTTTGGGCGTTAGCATTGGTAGGATTAATACTAGTTCTTTCACTTAAACCATCTTGGTTGGGCCTAGGGGCTAGTAAGGTTTATCCACATGTCTTCCTGCATTATGAATGCCAAGGTTACCTTTTGTAGATATTGTTTGCCATTTATTAAGAGGCATGGTTTTGCCCCTTGTTGACGGTGGGTTGGTTAAAAATTAGTTTTGCAGGATTTGGTATGGATGAAGAGAAGTTGTTGCGAAATTCTATTATGGCAATTTTGTGGTGTATTTGTGTCCTTTTTGTGTTCAAATTTTAGCTGTTGATTGTATTATATATTTTTGTCAAAAAAAAAAAACCCCCCTCACACATAGGTTAGTAGTCTAAGGCTCTTAGCACCTATGCTATTAACTAATTATTATCTTCGCTGTTCCCTCCAAGCGGAAGGATAAAAATTCTCATATTTGTTTCCTAGAAAAGAAAATAAAACTCAAGTAAGAAATTGAGAATTTGGGATTGTGGATTTAAAGCTTCTTTTGTTAATGGATATATTTGTCAAATTCAGGGATTTTTTCTTCTCAGCTTGATGTTGATGATTTAAGAGATAGCTATTTTCTCTGCCCAAGTTCTATCGTATTGCTGGGAGCACCGATCAGCCTGCTGTTTCTGGAAGTTTGCACTGTTTTACATGCCAGTTGATCTTACAGAAGCACTTAAGAGAATTTATCATGGTTCTCACCCATAGTATATATGTCTCATCGTTGTCACAAATATGATTGAACAATTCATCAATTTTGTGGTTCGACCTCCCAGGTACCAAGTCCATTTCTCCTGTGTCTAGCTTATGTTCTTGTCAGCATGCTATCATTGACAAGCATTTTTGTTGTTGCTTTGTTTAACACTAATTTGTGCATATGTTTCTGTTATGTGCAAGCTGCATCTTGGCTTATTTTATTGGCATTTTTTTTCTTTAAGCTAACCGTTTGAAAATAAGAAAACTGAATGTATTTCCTTGACATCAAGATTGCCTCTAAATGGACGTATCAAAAGAAGCACTGAGGCGCTCAACTTTTTTTTTTTTTTTTTTTTTCATAATTTTCATTTAATATCAAGTGCGGTTCACTTCAATGAGGTGCATAAGGCACTCGGAAATCCCTGTCATCTTGGAGCACCTTGAGCCTTATAATACACCGGTTACTCCTGTAATATAAAGGTTGATTCTGATTATATCTTAGCCCAATCAGCTAGAACATTTTCCTACTTCACCAAAAATACAAAACAAGTGCCATTTGCTGGGCCATTCTAATTTAATATATTATAATCCAAAAGTTGAAGGAAAATGGTGTTTTAGAAGTTACTCTGGGGGAATTAAAAGAAACTGGACCAAGTTATGATTTGATTCTGCTGCTATGAGGACAACTTGTCCTCTGGTATTGTGTGTTCTGTTTCTGCTGTTCATATGTACAACTTTTGTCTTTATAATTAAAAATAAGGTCTAGAAAGACATTCTACTCACATTTCAATGCACTTAATGAGTGTATTCCTCTTCACTCTTTCACGCGCAATACTATATGAAGTTCTCTTACAACTGAATATTTCAAAATTACATCACTCGTTCATGATGGGACGATACTTTGCCCTCAAATGCTCGCTCTAGGTACTTCAACATGTGGCTAAAAGAACAATCTTTTACACTGTACCTAGCAAGGTTTCTTCAAAATCATAACCCAATTTCACGGTGGGAAATACTTTATCCTCAAAATGGTACTTTAGTAACACCATCTATTGCCCAAAAGAACCAACTTTGACACTGTAGCAAAGGCTTCAATTTTCTTTATGTGTCATAAGCTCATCTTTAGCCTTGTAGAAATCAACCCAACTATGAAGCCAGAGTTATAATAATGACCTGTTGATTTGAACTGGAAGGTCTAGAACTCCAGATAGATGGGGCTGAGCTATATTTCGAGGAATGAACAAATCATTGCATCTTTGTTGTTTTTGTTGAGTTTTTCATTATTGTTGGGGGCTTGAATGCTCTGTGTGCTACCTTTTTCTACTACTTTTTTTTTTTTTATTTTTTTTAATTTTTTCTAATTTGGGAATAAAGAATGTATATCTATTTTTTATTTTTTCTTGATAAGTAAGTTCTCTTTTTATGCCTTTCCCTAGCTTGCCGTAGAATTCGACTTGAGATCGATTCCCCGCAGTCAGAAAAAAAAAGTAGTTAACTATATTGACTACAAAACAAAGATGACATGTTTCCGAATCCTAAAACTCCCTTGACCTTCAGATGACACACTAAATCCCTACTCATGAAATAATCTCTCCTCACATCATTCAGCACCCAGACCATTAAAAGTTCCTCATCATCCTCTTATAATTACTTGTATTTACTAATTACTACTGAAATTTTGAAAAGAGAAAGATAATAGGGAGAATTTCTAGACAGACATGATTAAATCAGCATTGTTATCCCACCCTGAGAAAAGTAGACCCTCACGTCTGTTGGAAATCCTCGTGATAACCGGTTTCCAATAGGATTCGAACCTGCCTCCAATAGGTAAACCCAAATTATGAGAACCAATGTTTAATAGGTTCATGGGTTCCTCACAGAAAGGAAGGGGTACATCCTACATCTGTTACAGCTCATCTAATAATTATCTGGTCTTCTTTATGCTCACTCCACACATCATCTAATTCACTGTCTTGACCTCAACCACATACCTTTGAGCATGTACTTGAGTAAGAGGGACAATACTGTTCTATGGCTTCTGCCCCCTCTAATTTTCCTCTGTAGCCACGCGCCCACACCCCCCCTGATATGCGGAATTCTTCATCCCCGTCTTTCTCTTATGTAGAGAGAGATCATTGCTTTGATTTTTTATTTTTTATTTTTTATTTTATTTTGATAGGTTTATTTGTATTCCATACTGCTTCCCACCTCCTTTTTTTACCCGTTATTGAAAATATGAATTTTTATTTTAAAATTAGTATTGTTGTTTTTATTTTTGTGGTTATCATATTATTGTTATTGTGTTATTGCTGTTACTACTATGGCTCTCTTACATGTTCTGTATTACTTTGGTGTATCTTTGATTGTATAGGGCCGTGTATGATCCAGATCAGTACTTATGGGAGAAGGATTTTACACTTGCTGGCAGAGCGTACAAAAGGGAAGATTTAGAGGCAAGTATGGGAATTGTCTCATAGATTTTCAATGTATTTTTTTTATCTCTAGCATAAGTCATGTGTTCATGCTGCATCATTTTGTCATATAAACTTGGTACAATGCTTCCCCCATGAGAATTTGCAGCTTCAAAATGGAAGAGGCCAGACCTTGAAGTGTAGTCATTATGTCCCATCTCTTCTCCCAGAAGATTCTCCTCTTCCGTGTGTTGTATACTGTCATGGAAACAGGTCTGTCAAGAATTTTGATCTATTTGTTTTTTTGATATATTAATATTATACATGAAATTTCAAAAACCCATTTGTGTTACTACTACAGTGGATGTCGGGCAGATGCAAATGAGGCTGCTGTAATACTTCTTCCAGCAAATATCACAGTCTTCACCCTGGACTTCTCTGGATCAGGCTTATCTGATGGTAATTATGTTAGCCTGGGATGGCATGAGGTTCGTTTATGTTCTAGATAACTGTCATTATCAGTAACTATAAATGCATGGTTGCATGACCATCAAGTTCATTCGCTCTCTTTTTTTGTGACAGAAAGACGATCTCAGAGTTGTCGTCTCTTATTTAAGAAGTACCAAGCGCGTGTCGCAAATAGGTCTTTGGGGACGATCTATGGGTGCCATTACAAGGTACAAAGCACCTGGCCTCCTTTTCTTTTCTTCTCCAAATAGCAATCATCCAATAAATTGTATCTTTCTCTGTTGCAGTGTAATTTTATACAGGTTGTTTGCTTGTTTAGTATGTTCAACTTTTGAGGTTTTTCTTAATAGTCTTCATCCTATATTTGCTGATACGACTTTCATTATAATTTCCAATAGGTTTGTCAAAATTGGTAGACCCATTATTGTCGATGTTCTTTCAAGCTTTGTTGGAGGTGGTGATGAAATGATCAATTTCATTTTAAATTTCTTACCCTTTGAATGATTAGTTTGTTCTTTAGTCGGAGAATAGTTACATGGATTTTGTCATGGTGTATATATTAGTAAAGTAAACTTGGGGCTTGATATTCCGTTAGTGAGTACCTTTAGATCAAATTACAAACATGAAACTTGTTTGAGCATTTCGAGTATCATGAATACTTGGTTTATGACTTGTGGACGAAATAGTTTGAATCAGAGGACGATTTTGAGATTTTAATGCTGTTGAATAACTTAGCGTTGTTGTTCTGTTTCTTATGCAGCCTTCTTTATGGATCAGAGGACCCTTCAATCTCTGGGATGGTTTTAGATAGCGTTTTCTCTAATTTATTTGATCTTATGAAGGAACTTGTTGATGTATACAAGATTCGGCTCCCAAAATTCACTGTATGTATTATTTCCTAGCAATTATGGTGTAGTTGTAGATTTGTAGGATCGCCAAGTTTTACTACTTGATTTCATGCGCTATTTTTGAAGTTTTCTTGTTAGGCATTATTTAGTCTTTGCTCACCCAAGCTTTTGTTTGCAAGTTGTTGCCGAACCTACCATTGGGATGATAAAGTCACCACAAACAATAATGTACTCCCTCCGTCCCTTTATTTTTTCCCGAAAGACATGTTCACTTAATTAAGTTTTGGTTGATCACTTGATTGTAGTTATGAGAGGGGAAATTAGTGGGACTAAAAAAATTGTTTGTGAGAGTAAAGTTGTGCTCCCAATAGCCATTTATGAAATGGAGCTAACTTAAGGGGAAAGCCCAAAAAGGAAAGTGGAGCAAACTTTAAGGAGTAGAGTGAGTACTTTGTATCACTCTAGCATTACTCTGATCATTCCTCCCATTTCAACAAAACCCATATTTGCTCTTGATACCAGTGTGCCAGAAAAATGCTAGAGCAATATTCGTAGACACCAATCTCCTGAATCCCAAACCTGACGACACACTTAATCTCAAACATGTTAATTTTACTTGCAACAATTTCCGGAATTTAGAATAAGGGAAAATAATAGTCTTGTTTAAACTAGACTCTCATAAGCTTCTTCCACCTTCTAGTTTTCTGGAAATAATCAGATCCTAGTGATTATTCACACCTGGATGGCCTATTTGAATCTTGATACCATGGTACGAACTTTTATATTTTCAAACTCAGATGCTACAAACTTTTATTTCCATCTATTTTAGGACAATAAGTTCATATAAAGGTTGATTAGCCTACCAAGTTCAATTTATATCTAGTTCTATTAAGTTTAGATATGTTCAAATAAGGTTAGTAAAAATGAGGTAAATAAAATCTCCTCCCTCTCCACCTTAATCACACCCCTAACGCTCTCATAGGATTCCCTCAATTATGTCAACTATTAAAAAGTGAAAGAAAAGGTGTTGTAGGGTGCTCTCAGGGGTAAGAGATTCATTCTTTGGGAGCACTATTCACCACTACCAAAAAAATCAGAAATACATTCTCTAATCAAGGAGTAAACCCCATGCTTAAGGAATGCCATCAAGAACGTCACTTCATTACAAGCCTTCTTAAAATCTATCATAAAGTAATTACCGAAACTACTTCATGGTGTGCCTTCTGCATATTTTCATTGGCTGCCAAGGTCACCTCCAAAATCTTCCTTTGCTCTACGGAAAAATGTGACAACGATATTGTGTTATGATTTGCCAACACATTCGTGACAATCTTGCATGCACTAGTGAGAAAATTGCTGAGATGATAATGTGTCTTAGATGATCAATCCTTTGTAGAAATTAGTAAGTTGGATTTCATACTCTTCTAAGTAATCCTAGTAAGAAAAGCTCCTAGCAAAATCATCCTTGACCACATCCCAATAAGGCAACAATCATGGCAAATAGCTGCTTTAAACCCATTAATGATGTTGCCTGATCTCTCTCTAACCGCAAATCCGCCTACCTTGTGGAGAAGGATATGGTTATAATCCATTCTTATGTGAACATCTTACAAATAGCATCAACATCACTTAAAACCTCTCCAAATACTCTGTATCTCTTCAATAAATTTCGACGCTTCCTCCCATTTCACACCTTCAAGGAAAAGTCCTGGGGAAGTTCCCTCTCTCTTGTTGCCTTAATCTTCATCATTTATAACTTGACTCTGCTTCTCCCTTTACGCTTCCTCATTCCTAAGATCCACAGTCTGTTGCTAACTGCTAACTCTTCTTCTTCATCACAAAGTTTCTAATGAACTTTCAATTTCCTTCAAAAAAGCATGTCACCTGACATCTCTGAAAACCTCTTTTTCCCACAACTATCAACTTCCCTTTGAAGAACTTCTACTTCTTTACGATATTAATTTCCCTCCAGCCCACCCTCAACATCTCATTCACCCCACTACTCCTTCATTGCTTAAAATTCAGGTTTGTAGTCTACATTTTTTTCAAAAGGAAACAGTGATGAATATTAAGGTAATAATCACTCCTAGACTGGGAAAGTATCTCTAACATAGGAAAGTCATTGTCAATTATAGCGAATTTTTATCTTGGAGATGGGATATAATTGGGTGACATCATTATTATACCTGAAGTGTTATTGGTATCCTCCCAATTCTCCTATTCCTAATTCTGCCACTTCTGTATTTCCGACCTTTGAGTTCAATCATAGGGGATGTCTTTTCTTTTCTTTTTTCTTTATCTCCTTCACAGGCTTTGGTGAGATTCAATAATGCGCTTCATTATTTATTTTGGAAAATCTTAATGAGTAAGAATTCTACTAGTTGTAGCTATATAATGTTATGATTTGCTAGGATAAAAGGATGTTTTTGGTTGGAGGAACATCAGCTATTTGATAGATTTAATCATTTAAACCAATTATATTTCTGTTAGCCTAGCATTTTCTGGTGAAGATTGGGATCTCATACTAGTAAGCTCCAAAAATTATACTTGACCCCATCATGACCAGTTGACCACAATGGTTGTAGATATGTAAACTAAGAGAGGTCAGAGGGTAGCAAAGCAATTATGACATCTCTTGAAACTAGGTATCAGTGTGTCACAAAAGCATGTTAACCTTAAGAAAGGTTGTTCTAGGAGTGAAGAGGATAAATTGGCGGTAAGCTAGGTGATCGAAAATCCTTATAGTAAAGGTAAGGGGTTTTGGAATTTGTTGTTGAGAATAGTAGGGCTCTAGGATGAAAGTGTTTGGGTCTCTTCATATTCTTGTGTCTTCATTATTTCATTTCGTTGGTTTTTTTTCTACTAACTACTTGTAAAATTTTTGAGAGGCAGGGGTGGAGGGAGGGGAATTACCATCGCTGAGGCATTTTAAAAATACCACTTACAAGCTGCATCTCTGAATGATATTAGGACAGAACTTGGAAAGTAGTACCCCTTGATTTTACATCTAATTGTATTCTTCTGAAGCCGCCCTTTAAAGGTCATGAGGTGAATATTTGTTGATTTTTTGGCCTCATTAGAGGCTAGACGAAAAAGGTAGCTGATGCTTTTGTTTAAAATTGTAGTGGTTTTTGAAGTTGGTGATCTGACATTGACTGAAGGGTGTTATGGGTGTTTTAATCTTTCAGTTTAATTTGTCCAATATGTATCGGGTTACCCCAAGACTAACACAATCCCACCACAACAGCCTTTTTCACCCATTTTTTGCACTTTAGTTGCCAGGTACAATGGGGGCGAGAGGGAAAACCCTCTGTCTTTTTATTGGGACATGAGAATGAGAGTAAGGAGTTGAATGAGTATTGTAGACAGTGGATGCTGATTTCAATTATTAATACAGTCATGAAGTGGGATTTTCTTATTTTACATTTGATACTGTGCTCTTGTAGTGGTGCCTGGTATGTGCAACAGACTACGCACAGTTGAACTAGAAGAACAGAGATTGAACAATAGTTGTGGGAAAGACAAGATTTTTGATAGATAATAATAAAAAAAAGGTTATAAACAATGGCTTTAGGTCATTACTTCTCCAAGTTTCCCAATTACAATTTTTCTGAAATTCTCTCTCCTAAACTTCTTTCTTATTCGTATTACTCTAGCTCATTACATGATGTGGCATAAGCCTTAATTACTGCGTTTGCCACTATTTGTCTTTATCCCAAAAGCACAATAAGCCAAAGGGGCAGCCTGCAGCTTTACGAAGTTGTTGCTGGTGGTAGTGGGTTGTGAGCACTCCCCTGCCTCTGTTGTTTCTTCTGCTGCTGCCTGCTGTAGGTTTAGAGAATTGGTGGTGCGGAATGATTCATTGCAGTATGTGGTATTTTGCTTGTACTTTATTTTTATTTTTTTTTTGCAAATGGAGAATGTGGGTTCTATTTCATATTTCCATGACCAAGTTTCAGTGTTAGTCAATGGATAATTAACATGATTCATATCAAGCTGATTTCAGACTTTTCTCTTCATTGATTCTTATAATATAGGAGTCACTGATGTAGGCTTTCTATTTTCACTCTCCTGGGTCCTGGCTAGTGTAGCTTTAAAGCTAGACAAAAATTGATTGAGACAAAAATTGAATGAGACTTTCTCTGGGTAACAATGATTGTGATTAGGGTTTTCATTGGTTAAGTGGGAAGAATTGCCGGAAGCGTGTTGGAGGTCTTGCCATTAGGCCCATCCAAGCAGTGAATGAAGCTCTTATGGCAAAGGGGCTGTGAGAGTCCGAGGTGTATGAATGAAAATGAAGTAATGTGGAAGAACACCATCAAACTCAAAACACTGTATAGTATTCTCCTTGTTTAGCAAACATTATAAAATTGTGATATAAATGCATCAATGAATGTGCTCCAAAATTACTGTATTGTAATATTAAGTTTGACTTTGTATTAAGCAGAATATGCAAGTGATAATGAACTGGTAAGAGTAGATATAATAGGCAAAATTCTGACATTGATTTCTGAATAGGTGAAGATGGCTGTGCAGTACATGCGGCGGGTGATTAAGAGGAGGGCAAAGTTTGATATCAAGGACCTCAATTCCTTGCAGGTTCAACAAAAATCAATTTACTGTACACGCTTACAAATATTGAATCAGTCCCTTCTCACTTTTGCATTTATAAACCTCCTTCTCATCAGATCTCTCACCATGGTGGGTGCATGTGTGTGTGTGTTTCACATGCTTGTTTGTGTGAGCGTGCATGTGTGCTTGTATGTGTCCGTGAGTGCACTTGCATGTTTACCATTGAAAATAAACTTAATTTAAAATAGGAAGATTGATAAGGATAAGATAATTACAATCATTGCATATTTTAGGTTCATTTTTTTTAACTTGAGGATAATTTATCTTTTTGGAATTGCAAGAATCGGTTTTGAATTCATCAATTTAAAACTTTCATGGCACGGATGCAATCAAGAAAACAACTAATTATTCATCTCAAGTGTAGAAATAATGTGAGAGATAGTGTATACATCTACCTATCATATTCACCCCTCTCATTGTTAAAGTTTTTCGAATAGGATCTCCAAAGTTTTACAAGGTTGTTCAAATGGCTAAATGTTCAATGCATAATAGTGGCATTATGGTAACTTTGCACAACAATTTTTTATTTTATAAAAATAATTGCCATGTGTGTAAAAGAAAAAAGGAAGAGAGAGATATAGAGAAAGGGAGGACCAAGATTGACTTAATGGAAGTGGAAAGAGAGAAAATAAGTTATGGTACCACATTACATTACTTTAATTTTCAAAATTTAGTGTACCATTGGAGCCATTTTAGCACCATTATAACCGTTTATGGTATATCAATGGTATAATTTCACAACTTAATGGTACTGATGCAACTTTAAAAGTATTTCTTTACCATTATAGCTATTTATAGCTTCATTATCAATGTTACAATTGCATAACTCAATGATACCTATACTAACTTTGAAAATATTTCATCTAAAACCATGTTATGCATATACAACTGTATAACATCTATTTCTTTGCACTTCCTTAAGTTTTACTTGCCCAAACAATTAATATAATACTAGACCATGGACCATCCCCACCCATCCGACTTGAAAGATAACATGCCGACTTGCAATGAAGAAAAACATGTGAGCAAGGTTCATAATTAACTCAGCAAAGCAAAGCCATCCTTAGTCTGTTTTTGGAGCGTATCATTCATGTTTTCCCTTCACATAACTCCTAAAGGCAGTGTCCACAAGAGGAACCTTATCCTTCCTAAAGAAATTTGCTTAAGGCTAGATATTCAGGGAGCTTACTCGAGGAGCAAAACTAGAATTTACATGTAGAAAACCCAAAAAAAAACTCCTTTCCATAACCTAATTTTTGCCATTTTAGTGATCACACATAGAGGAGAGCTCCTCTAACTTTGTCGGTTGGCCTTCAAAAGTGCAAATCCCACGCATCACTACAAGAATGGCTAAATTTAAAATTGGAGCAACAAGTGGAGAAGATAGGCAGACTAGATGTGGAAATAAACAAAGAATGGAGGTTCTCCTACAATTCTACCCAACTACCCTTTCAAAAATGGAACAAATTTCCATCCTCTAATATGAATCTCATTGAGGGGTTGAAAAGGGAAGTACGTAATCAAAACTTGCTCTTAGTAAAATTATACTAGAAAGAATGAAGTACACGAGGACGCCCCATTTTACCCACCAAAGAAATGCTCACCAAGGACATTTTCTTCCATCTATGTAACCTTCGTGAAATGCTTAATATTATCGATTCCCTACAAATTTCTGAGATAACTAAGAGACCCAATTTTCTACTTGCCACCACTAAAGCAGTACGGTTTCAGGCCAATCCCCACTTAGCTACATTTAGAGAGTATCGATTCTTAAAACTTCCGAACACCTCAAAATCTAAAGGTTTGTAAGCGCAGTTTTGAAATTCTGGAAATTAGTTTCTAGGTATAGATGGGGACATGAACATATTGCAAATAAGACTCTTGGACTTCCTCCCTCCCCTCCCTAAAATTGTTTGTTGAAATTTTTTCCTACTAGGCTAGGTTTGTAATATATATATAAAGCTCTTTAAAACTTTACTTAAGTATGTCTTTTTTGCTTACAAATTTGCTACAATCTGAAGTACTTTACAAGCCCCTGATAGCTTAAATCTTGCGTCCGAAATTTTGAATTTTATTCAATTGTGGAAGATGGTTTACAATCTGAAGTACTTTACAATCTGAAGTACTTTGCAATTTGGTGTTGCACTTGGTAAGAAAAAAATCAATATAACTTTGTGGACAGTGTTTCCCCTAGTCAATGTTCAAGTTCATTTTGAAGGCTTTTCTTATGAGCGATGTTCTTGATTTTGTAGATAAAGCTTCGTATATAACAAAATTTGTAAGAATAACTCTTTGAGTTTGTATGTGACTTTGCTCTTCTACAATAAATGGTATGATCATGATTCCTGCAGGTTGCAAGCCAAACATTCATTCCTGTCTTATTTGGACATGCTAATGGGGATAAATTTATTCAACCACACCACTCTGATGTTATCTTTAAATTGTATGCGGTATATATACATATGCAATTGTGTTGAAGTTTCTATACATTATACTGTAAGTGGCTGCTTCATGACTGCCTTTTGTTACTGGTGTCAATGTAGGGTGATAAAAACATCATAAAATTTGATGGTGATCATAACTCTTCTCGGCCACAGTTCTACTATGACTCAGTTTCCATATTCTTCTATAATGCCCTACATCCTCCACAAGTTTCATCTGTTTGGTCCAATAAGATTCAGGAATATCATAGTCTGAAGGATCTGAGAGTTGATGCTGGTATGGATGAGGTAATATGTTTTGAACATTGAATTTCTTAGTATATTATAATTACAAAATTTTGTTTGTTTTTCTTTTCCTTGTTTTTTTTTTTTATTTTTTATTTTTTTTTAATCTATAGTCAGGTCATGCAATCAACCAGTTTATTTTTGGTAACTTTTAATATTTAATCGAAGATTTATAGAAATATTATGTGGCACACAAAGTTTTGAATTTGAAAATCCCCCCAATGTGGAGGTAAAAGACTACTGGTGAACAAATGATTTTATTCCCACTATGGCAAGATAATGAACATACACATATACCAACTTATACGCTGAACTTTCTTTTCTCTGAATGCATGTATGTCGATATATTAATGAACTATAGAATATTGAACATTATATGCCTCTCATTTTTTTTAATTAACAGATGGCAATTGATATTGACCATTAAATGCCTCGGATTTAGCTCTTTTAACAAATGGAAATGTAGGGAATAGGTACTCTGAGCGGAATTGCATGAATCATATTTATAAGCACCTAAAAAGGATCTATGCACAACACATAATTATACCTTTGAAGCGTGATTCCACAAGCGATCGACCACGAATGACTAGGAGAATAAGAGCCTCAACTTGGTCCACGGGCTAGGATTGAACCTCCACTAATGCTAGTTAGTCGGGCACGAACACTTTGAGCCACCTTTTACGGAGAAGGAAGGAAGAAACCGACCACGAACACCACCACACCACCACTGTGCACCACCTTGCACCGTGCGGCTGTACGGACGTAAGGAAAGGAATGAGGAGAGAGATTGCGTGAGGCTAGGGTTTGGTTGCTAGCTAGTCAATTCTCAATTGACTGCTTAAGTGTGTTATATCAAACCCTAGGCAAGGCATCACATGTATAATTAGAGTCCAAACCAAGCCAAAAGTACTCTCTCTTTTAATCCCATATGGCTGGCCACCATCCACGAGGCCCAATGATGGGCCTCATTCTTTGTTCAATCTATCACCCTTATGTGTAACCTCATAGGATCCATTCTATTGGGCTTTGGACTATTTGACTAGCCAAAGATCATTTATCACGTCTAGCAACAGACAATGACGACTCAAAAGAACGAACTTATTATCTCCATAATAACGATTCATTAATATATCTAGTAATTGCATTTGACGAAGACATAAATCTTTCAAACACTTGTCTGAGACAAGTGTGCAATATTCAAATTTCTTAAGTCAATATGTGTCGATTTGATAACATAATTACCCAATTTTTTTTTTATTTTTTTTTTTCATTTATTCTTCAAAGAATTTCGAAGAATAAATGAAAAAAAAAATAAAAAATTGGGTAATTAAAAGTCACGTGCTTCGCACATGACTGAGTCAACGCCGGAATTTAATGGTCAACGGCAACTTTCCGGCAAGTGGTGTTATTTTGCAACAAAATTTTTAAACAAGGTGGTCTTCACAACATTTTTTTTAAAAGGTGGTTTTTTTACAAAAACAAGTTTTAAAAAGGTGGTTTTATACAAAATTGCCTTATTATTATTATTATTATTTTTATTTTTTTTTATAATTTCAATTTTAATTAACAACTTTTGTTAAATAAAATTAATGTGGTCTACGATGAATTAAAACATAACTTTTATGCTTATTCATCTAATTAAAATTAAATTCACAATCTAATTTTAATTTCTAGGGTTCTTCATGAAAAATAATCCCCTTAGCTCTTAAATTAAATACATTGATTATGCAAAATTCATAATTTATACATGAAATCAATTAGATTAAATTCATGAAGCTTAAAACAATTGAAATTAATCAAAACACAAAACTCAAAATCAAAATTTAGGGTTTAGGGTTTCGAAAAATTCGAATCTAGGGCTAGGGAATTCGAAAATTTCAAACACTTAGGGGGTTAATTTGGTAGCAAATTAAATCACATTTAACGATTTCATATGTTAAATCACATTTAAATTATAATTGACCCATTAAATTATTCTCCCTCTTTATTGAATTCAAATTGTGGACATCAAAGAATTATGATCAATATGCGTAAATGCAAGAGGCTTAACTGATACCACTGTAGGGAAATAGGTACTCTAAGCGGAATTGCATGAATCATATTCATAAGCACCTAAAAAGGATCTATGCACAACACATAATTATACCTTTGAAGCGTGATTCCACAAGCGATCGACCACGAACGATTAGGAGAATAAGAGCCTCTACTTGGTCCTCTACTTGGTCCATGGGCTAGGATTGAACCTCCACTAATGCTAGTTAGTCGGGCACGAACACTTCGAGCCACCTTTTACTGAGAGGGGAGGAGAAAACCGACCACGAACACCACACCACCACCGTGCACCACCTTGCATTGTGCGACCATACGGCTGACGTGAGGAAGGGGATGAGGAGAGAGATTGCATGAGGCTAGGGTTTGGTTGCTAGCTAGTGAATTCTCAATTGACTGCTTAAGTGTGTTATATCAAACCCTAGGCAAGGCCTCTATTTATACATCACATGTATAATTAGAGTCCAAACCAAGCCCAAAATACTCTCTTTAATCCCGTATGGCTGGCCACCATCCTTGAGGCCCAATGATGAGCCTCATTCTTTGTTCAATCCATCACCCTTATGTGTGACCTCATAGGATCCATTCTATTAGGCTTTGGACTATTTGACTAGCCCAAAGATCATTTATCACGTCTAGCAACAGACGATGACGACTCAAAAGAACGAACTTATTATCTCCATAATAACGATCCATTAATATATCTAGTAATTGCATTTGACGAAGACATAAATCCTTTAGGAAACATTATAGAATATTTAACATTATATACCTCTTTATTGTTCAATTTTACAAATCTACCTCCCTAGCCCTGCCCCATTGAATTGGGTTTTGTTGTCACTAGATCCTTTGTTAACTGCAGGTTGGAAATGTGTATTTTAAATGAGATAGACAATTAGGATATAAGACCCACTTCTTCCATTCTAGTCATGTGTTACAAAATCGTTGTTGTAAATATTAGTATTATCTTTAATTGAATTTCCTCTAATTGCTTTACTTACCCGTAACATCCTAAATGGCTTAATTGTGGAAGTTTTTACTCAAAGTCATTGCTGCCAAGCTATTGGCTAGAAACAATAACACTTTTAGGTATTCGTTGGAGCTAGATGAGAGTATGATACTCGTATATTTTCCCCACCTTTACTGGAAAAGTTGTATTTAAAGATCATTCAAGACACATTGGAAATGAGAAGGATGAATAGAAAGGAGAACAGACAAAGAAGTAAAGGTTTAAAGAGTGGTGATTATGAGAGTATCATGGAAGTACACTTTTCCTTCTTTTTGAAAAAGGTGTCTCGCTGACTTGCTGTATTATAAGTTGGTTGTAATCTTGATGTTTAGTGCTCATGTTGAGCACCACTTTTCTTTTCTTGTACATGAGTGAAGACTGAAGAAAAAAGCCACGATCCTGGTAACAATTGTGATGTGGAAGTGGCCTTTTGGTATATTGAAATTTCACGAATCACGATAATTGACATCTAAACCCATGTTATGTGGCCCCTTCACTGTCTTTCTCTCTCTTCATATCCCATGCGGTTGTATGCCTCTTACTAACTTTGTCTCTATTATGACAGTTTTTTATTCTCCTATTGTTGTTCTTAATATGTGTCTTAGCACAAGAGGATAATTGTTGAGGTTTTAAACTCTTATGAATGATTATAGTATGAGTAATATTCCTATTATATATGAATTTCATTGTATCAATCTAAGATGTTTTGTACCGTTTTGATTATGGTCTTTAACGCAAGTTACTGAACAACCTTGTTTTGATTACGTATGTCACGTCGTTGATGCCTATATGATATGCTCGTATATCTGAGTAAATGAGAAGAGATTGGTTGGGTAGGCTCTTATAAATTTATAATGGTGGTTGTTGAAAAGTTTAAAGTAAATTTAGGGAAGCTGGTATTGTTTCAGTGTATGCCGAAACTTAAACGTCATTTTCTTTTTGACAGCCGGGATAGTTAATTCTAGGGGCAGCAGAGATGCGGTGCGACCGGCGCAACCGCACAGGGCCCCCAAAAATTTGGGCCCCCGAAATAAACTTGATATATACAGATTAAGTAAACAAGTTTAATGAGAAATTGCCTTTGGGCCCCCAAAAATTTGTGGCCCCGAATTAAACTTGATATATACAGATTAAGTAAATAATTTTAATGAGAAATTGCCTTTGGTCTAGTGGTAAAGAGTTTTAGGTTGAAGCAATTGGTCCTAGGTTCTAGTCTTAGGATTGACAGCCTATACCCCCACTAATCTTTTTCGATTTTTTTCGCTTCTTTAATATCTCACCCTTTTTGTTTGTTCTTTCCCCCCCCCCCCCCCCTTTTTTAAAGCTCAATTCCTAAATTTTCAACACTTGCTTGTTAATTCTCTTGCTTTGCAATGTTTTTGGTGTTATCTTGATATGTACTATTAATTTGTTACCCTTGTATTTTAATAATTTTTTTAATTTTTTTTTTGAAGTATAAAAATTATAATTTTATTCTTTGTTTGTTAATAATTGGTGATCAAAAGTAATGTATCAATTTATATATGAAAATTGAAAATAATAAAATAAAATTGACTAGCACAATAATCCGAATTTTTACATACTATGTTCATTGAAGCAAATTTTATTATTTTTTTAATATCTTCATCTCTTATTTTTAATCATAGAAAAGGGCCCAATTTATAAAATCGCACAGGCCCCGAAAATCTTTGCCACACCCCTGTTTAATTTATGAACTTTTTTGTGCTTTATGTTGAGTTTGAAGATGTCATGTCTGTGACTTAATTGTGGTATAATAGAATTTTTCCTGTTATAGCTGACACCTCTTTCGTATACTGTAAACATATCTGCATAGAGTACTAATTACGCAACAGGTGTATCTTTTCAAGTGCATCTTGAAAAGAACATGGTCATATTTTTCTTAATTTAGGACTAATATATGCGTATTTTATTATATGTTTAGAAGCTGCTGTATGAGATAATATCTAATCTTCATATTGCGGGTACTGATGCTGCAAGCTCATCTTCTGCTCCGCCCAGCTTTTCAACTGCTAAATCTGTCGGAGATTTTCTCTCTGAAATCGTACCAGTTTTGGGCACAAGTGTATGTAAAATTTCTTGAATATTTATTTAAATGTTGTTCATTAAGTGGCTTTCGGGCTTTCCCTAGCACACAATGGGTCTGTAGATGATATACGTCCTTTTCAACTTGTACCTATGAACTAAACTTATTAAGAGCTATGAGCCTATGACATTAACACCTAGGCTGCAAGAAGAAACATGTATCTGAAAGTATTCTTCTCTTTGTGGGAAATGGTTTCACCATTGACATTTTTCTGGTGGTAAATGCAGGACATGATATCTAATGAAGACATATGTGCTGCTGATGGGTATTTCCAGGTAAACTGTACTATGTATGATGTATCTAAAAGTACTATGTATGATGTATGATGTATCTAAAAGTACTATGTATGATGTATCTGAAAGTACTATATATGATGTATGATGTATGTTGTAGTATTTTTCCTTACATTTTGCTGGCAGAGATGTCTCCTCTTGACCTATCTATCATTGGGTTTATGTTTCTTTGACAACATGATATTTATCTTCTCTAGAAATTTACCTATAATGAAATGATCTCATTTTCAGGATAAAATAAGTGGATCATTTGAAGAATGCTGCTCGCATGCTAGCTCTAACAAGGAGAGTTTAGGAAGATGTTCATCTTTAGAAGGCTATGATTACATAGAGTATGCTGATCCAAGTAACAGCCATCAGGTTTGTGTCCTACTTTTACCATGACTTACGAGTATTATTTACTTATGTCTCCTGTAGATCTCTTGAAAGCCATGGTATAATAATTTTGTTCTTATGTATATATATATATATATATATATATATATATATATATATATATATATATATATATATATATATATATATATATTTTACTCCTGTTAAATGAAAATGGAATTTTCCATTTTGGGATGTTGGATAATTGCCAAACATTACACAGAGCAAGTTAGTACATTGTATAACATTTCCCCAACATACATAGAATTCTCATTTGCTCCTTAAAGGGCAATCACCTTAGATGGGAGAGTTGTTATGTATATGATCTATTATTAAAAGATGAGGAATTTGCTTAGAATCAAAGCAAGTTGATTGAAGTGGAAGGGTACTATGGGTGTTTTATGTTATCCTGCATACCCCATAGATTACAGGGAAAATTCTACTCTATGGGAATAAGGCATGCATTATTATATGGTACGAAATGTTGGCTATCTACCATTCACATTCATAAGATGAATGTAGCGGAAATGCATATGTTGCGTTGGATGTGTAGCCATATCAGAAAGGATCAAATGAGGAATGAAATGATTAGGAAGAAAGTAATACGTATATTGAGAACATAATGGAGGGACAATCATTTAAGGTGCTTGAGATTGAGTGAGGCTCCGGTAAGGAAACTTGAAGAGTGGCATAGTGAAAAGATCATGATGGGTAGGGGAAGACTTCATTATTCTTGGAGAGGGTGATTGAGAGTGATATTAGCCTTTAAGGGACTAAGGAATATATGGCGTTGGATAGTGCAAAATAACTTTTTATATACTTTTTTCTTTTTAGTTTTACCTAAACTCACTGTGTTTTACAAACTCTAATTATTATCCTATATAAAGATTTTCTCGAACTTATTATGTGTTTTTACTCGCTTGTTTTTCCTCTCTATTTATATCCCCTTAGCTCCCTTTTATAAAAAATCATCTAATTTATTTTGTAAATCATGCTTTGAGGTTTCACTTTACATGCTCTCTGTTTTTGCTCACTTTATTATTTCTAGTTTTACGTCCACTTTCATCTATCACTTTTCTTTCTATGTTCCTATTTTTTGCCGACAGTTTATTATGATGATTCTTGTTAGTTGACCTCACATCATTTTGGGACTAAGGCTTTATTGTTCTGCAAGCTTAAACTATTTACGGCATGTTTGGTAGGTGTTCGTAAATGATGGTAATGAGAATGAATTTGTATGTAAATTTGTAAGGAAAATCAAGGTTTATTCCTATGGTAATGCTAGTTTACCCTAAATTGTCCATTTTTCTAAATTAATATTTGTTCCCACCTACTACCTCCTCCCAAGTGGTAATAAATCTTTATTCCCACCTAATACCTCCTCCCAAGTGGTATTCACCAACTATTGTCAAAATAGTGTGTGAATAATGCAAGTCATGATGTCCCAACTTAAATAAGCGTAGTGAATTTTGTGGCTAAGGTGTTTAGATTGCTTTCCCTTTATGCAGATGAGCCCCAATGTGTCGAGTACCTGCACAGCACAAGACGTAGGCAGATCGCCCAAAGACAATGAGAGAAAGGTCCCTCTAGGGAAGTCGGAAAAATTTGGGACCTTGAGTCAACTTTTGCGCTTTTGCATCCTAAAGAGAGCTAATCATCGTAACTCCTTTTCATGAGTGTACATGCTAACACGAATTGAAATTTGTTCTATTGTACTACAAATGATCTTTCTAACTGCAGAATTATTTATGTACTATGACGAGTCTAACAACAAAAAAGTTAACACGATAGTTAGAAGTTTTATGTTTAGAAAAGATTATTTATGTATTATTCACTAATCATTCTTGTGGATTGGATTAGCAAAACTATCCAATTTCGTTGATCTGATCCAATGGTGGTGCATTGATTCGAACTAGAAGTCATGAACCTGGTCTAGATGTCTAGTTAGTTTCAGATAATTCAAATTATTATTTTTGGGAATAAATGTCTTGCCAAATTAAGTACATTTGTTATAGCCCCTTCAATGTACAAATTGTGTTATGTAAAAAATAAAAATAAAAAAAGTTTTGTTTTCAAAATGATTTATTTATTATTTCATCATTAAATCATACAACTAGGATATGACTAAAGAAAACTAATTAGTTTTAGCTCCATCTGATGTACAAATTTTGTTTTGTTTCTGAAATGATTGATTTTTAATTTCATCATATATGACTGGAAGATTGTACAAGTATTTCATTACCCTCGTCAGGATTTTTTTTTTTTTTAAATTAATTTTTTTGTATTATTTGGTTGTCCAAACCCAAATCATGACATATTGACATGGAGAAAGATAAGCAAATATAACCCTGTTCTTTATAGTCTTATTTGACCTGAAGTAGAATTACAATGCTCCCTGAAAAGAATAATGTCCAGAAAATCATCCATTTGCCGCGCAATCCATGACTTGAAGAAGGGTTTGTGATACCAACAAGAAATCGACATTGTCCAACTGAAGGATCCAAGAAAGTGACCACACCAAGACCGTCAAAGTCACAACTCTGTACATCTTGTTTCTGTAGCTGATAGTAGCTATTGAATGCGAATGATACATTCCCATTTTCCCCGATTCCATTGCATGAACCACCATAATTAAGTCTAGTGCAGTCAGCAGCACTACAAGCAAGTTGTAAATGGTTTGACACACGAGATAGATCCTTTGATGGATTTGCAATGCACCATCTAGCCGGGAGATACCTAACATCCATTGCATTCTGTAAAGACCCAACACCTAGACCAAGATTCAGTTGATACTTAGCTTGCCCATCAAAAGAGAAAATTCCCCAATGCCTTTCAAAGTTCCCTGGGAGGGTGCTCTTTGAGTCTTCATCAAGAAGGCTGAAGATATAAACGTCCATAGGTGGGGCCCCAGGCTTGAGAGGAGTCCCTTTGTTGCTAAGGACATGATTTATAAGGCCCTGGTTAAAAACCCTGGCTGCAGTAAGATTTGCACCAATGGCTCCATCTGTAGGCCAACCAACCTCCCCAATCACTATGGGCATCTGACCATACCCAATTCTGTTAAGTGCTGCAACTAATGTGTCATAGTTACCGTCAAAGGCATTGTAGTAGACATTTGGTCCATCTATTACAGGATGGTTTGTCCCTGCAAAAAATGCATAGTCTTGGGGGAAATCTGAATTTCCATAAAGACTTAAAAAGGGATAGATGTTGACAACAAATGGAGAACCATTGGAATTGAGGAAGGAAACAAGTTCAGTCATAATCTGGGAAAGTTCGGGGCGAAAGGCTCCTTGAGATGGTACAGTTGACTCATAGGCATCAGCATTACAGGGAACTACTAGCTTGACAGAGGCGGCAAGATTTGCTTTGACCAATGACTGCTGCAAATTAAGTAGAGCTGGCACAACATAAGACTGAAATTGGCCAGAGTAGCTAGTGAGGAAGGGTTCATTTCCAACAGCTACATACCTGAAATTGAGTAAGATGTTTATTCAGTGGTTTGCAATTCCATGACAAGAAGTTACTCAGGCTCAGCTCAGGATCAAATAAATGTACCAACTGCCAAGTAGGAAACTAGTCAGAAGTTAAAAACTGAAATTAGAGCAGCAACCTACAACAGTAAATGCTTGAAAGTAATTTATTTTGTAGACAGGAAGTTTGCAGATTATATAACAAGCAGTCAATGGTGAATAAACATAAAATGGGACCAAAAAAACACCCCAAAGAAATTGTAACAGACCAGGTTTGCCGCAAGTATTTTTTGAACACAAACAGCAATAATTGTAAGGCTAAATGCTGGAGTTTTGATTAATAACGGTCAAAAGGTTACAAGGGTAGTAGCTTGAGGCTACCAATCTCCAAGCAACTTGAGGTTGCAACTCTCTAAGATTCACTTGCTTAATTTCTGGATGATTCCACTACTAACTTACTACTACATTTATAATACTCAAGCATCTAAAGTGGAATTAGCCTACATGTGAATACTTAGCCGAAAAAGCAAAACCAAAATATGACATAGCTAATACTTGTTGCTAGTTTTCCCAAACTTCTTCTTAATGACTTTTGTCCCTTGCTCTTTGTTGCTTGTTGACCCCTTCTAGTCTTTTTTTCCCTGCTGCTGTTGTTTCCTTTGCTTCGGTTGACGCTCTTTGACCCTTGACTTTCAATTTGTCAACTTTGGGCCTACCGGTGTAGACCTTGATAGGTGGTTCTATCACAGAAATTCCTAGAACCCAGGCACTAAAGGCAAAGTAGTGGTTCTTGTTTTAGAGTCTATACATAATCAAGGCAAGTACTTGGGGATGGTTTTCTGCCAAAGTTTAATTAAGGCAAGTGGAGTAATAAAAAACCAAATCAAAATCAACTCTTATAGTTCTATGATTTTATACAAAAAGAGTCGGCTGCAGAAGGCACCATCTTATGTAACCATGAGGCAATCTCATTGAAGTTGGTACCTATTTGATTCATCCTTTTGTCAGCTAGGCTACAGCTCTTTGCTGAGGCCATTCAACATAGTTCTCCAACTGGAATTCGAAACTAAGAAATCAGGGAGGACAACTTGCTTGTTTTGATTCCAATTTGGTTTAGGCTGATGATAATTACCAAATTGCTTGTGAATTTGTGATGGCAAAGATAAGAATTTACATGGGTGGATTTCTTTTCCACTGATCATGGAATCGGAATGTAGATGATAACACCAAGTCACCATGTGAAGAATTTTGAATGGGAGGATCTCTGAAACGAGACCTTACATCTCACGTGTTCTAACTATGCTTGTTGTATATACTCTGGCTAAGAAATTCAACCACACTCTATATTATCTACAGCTTGTTGTGCACAGGTCACTATCAGTTTTTACCAGTGTTTTATGATAACGATCTGAGAAGTGAGAATGAAGTTGAAGGACCGAGGCCAAGGGAAAAGGTATTAGAGCATACTTTGTGCATTTAGAATCCTTTCCCATTGAAGAAAAGGCAATCATCATACAGTATAATATAGCAAGATGCAAAATATCAGGCATATATTTATTACCATATTATTTAATCAACATTCCTAATCAAGCAAACTTTATCAGACTAATCAGCTACATATGCCCAAAGACTTTTGGTTGTGTCAGATGCTCAAAAAAGTTGAGATTTAGCCTCATTACTTCCCATTATCTAATGATAATAATCCTAACTCTAATCAACACGGTCGGTCGTGGGAAGATTGCTCACCGGTGATGGGTGATTTCTTGAATTTTTCTTATTACCCTCAACCTAGTTAGTATACAAGTGCATAAGGTTATAATACTTCTATGAATCATATAATATCTGAACCAAATTACGGCCATTATCATTAGGGCCGACAAAAGTAGTCTTATGATGGTAAGACGGTATTACACAAACGTTTGTCAAACTCAAACTAAAATCAAATACTTATATATATATAGTTGAAATAACGGAGAGAGCGAAATAATAGACCTGAATACCTGATGTCGGCGGGAGGGTTAGAAGAGACATAAGCGGAAAGGTTGTGGCGAACCCAAGAATCAGCGGCTATGGAAGAAGAGCTAAGAATAGGCAGAAAATCATTAGGAATGCCAACCATAACTTGAATGTGGGTACCCCTAAGAGCATTAAGAGCTTCTGGGTCGGCATCGAAAAGCTTCACTTTAGAGATCTTGTTCTGTTTCAACAGATCCACCACTTTGGTTGCTGGTAGTCTGTGTTGTGATAGGGTTCCCCAGTTCATTCCTATTGCAGATTCGCCGCCTTTTGATATCATCACTGTAGTATTACCAACCACATTAACACTGCTTGTTTCTTCCAGATTTTCATCATTTTGAGTTGCAACTTACAATTAGTTTCAAGTTGCAATTCAGTTTAATGACTATACTATATAGACAATACAGTGATATAGTGTACACCAACTTGAGTTGTTTGTCACTTTTTTTTTCTTTTTCTAACCACTAACCTGTCCACACTATAAATCTTTTAGTGGAGCTGGAGCCCAAATATCTATCATTCATTCATTCGTCATTATTCAATATTCATACTACCCTTTAAGCCTTTAACGGAGGAGTATCATCTAGTAATACCAAGTACTAGAAGGTGAGTGTGTTAGCAAAATTTACGGAATATCATGTACTTGTAAGGAGAAGTGATATTAGAATTTAGAAGTATAAATTATAAAAATTTAATATTATAAAAGTATAAATCAAGATGAGTAAAACAAGATTTCATATGATTATATTTTTCCTAACTTATAAATCACTAAAGTTAGTCAAAGTGAGATATGTGAATAGTGTAAAAAGTTAAACTGTTGCAAGTAAAAAAAAAACGGAGGAAGTAGCTAGTTAATAGCTAGTTTACCAAACACTCATACTTATTTACTTCCTTCGTCCCATAAATAGTTTCTGTTTGTGTTTTTTCACGATATTTAAGAAATAGGAGGAGAAAGTGGATGAAGTACATTAATAAAAGTGAAAGTACAATTATAGACAAAAGTTAGAAAGAGAAAGTGGAAAAAAGTACAAGGCATATGCAAAATTAAAGGGTAAATTAGAAAGTACAATGAATAAAGTTAGAAAAGTGAGGGTATAATGGTATTTACATACTATTCAAAAATAGAAACAGGAACAACATTTTAGATCTCCAACATAGGAAAATAGGAACTTATTATGGGATGGAGGGAGTATATATTTTCACAGCTAACAGCTACCTCTACAGCTATGTTTTTTCCGAACACGCCCAAAAATAAACCATTTATCCTATATCTTTATGGGTGCCATGTTTGAAAAAACAGGGATTGGCGATTGGGCCACGGGGGTCGGGCCTCCACAAGCCCCCCCCCCCCCCCCCGGGGCTCCGTCTCTGGTTATATTTGGCATGTATATCCCTGAGGAGTAAGTTTTAGGCATGTTAGGTTTCCTTGTATTGTAATATATATATATATATAATACAGGCTAAGCTGTTTTCTCCAATCTTTCTTGAGTTTAACAAGGTATCAGAGCCTCTTTAATTTTTAGAGAATTTTTCGATCCTGATTTGTTCATCAAATTAATTTTTTTTTTCTTTTTCCACAATTTGTGAGATTAAGGCATCAATTTTTATTATTTTAATCACAGGGTATTTATGTCATATTACATTTAAAAATGGGGTAGTTTGGAGTTTGGTCAATATGCTGTTAAATTCGCAAACGTTTGAAATGGCGTCCTTGTAAATGACAGTTTACTCGTCACAAATAACAGTGTGTGTTCAAACTTACTAAAGTTAGGCATATTGAGTTTCACAAAACATAGATTACGAGTAGGTTCAAACCCTAAATGAGGGAGGATCTTGGAGCACCCGTTAAAGCAATATGCAACCATGTTAACACACATCTCAGCAGTAGGCGACCGTGGAAATTTTGAGCAAATCCATTTATTGTTCTTCGTTTTTCTATAAAAGAAGGTGCACATAAATTAAGTTTTAATGAATCATTGTTGAAACTTGGAAGATAACAAAACAACATTTGTTTTAATTGAGTGGATTAATTTCACAAAAAAAATTGTAAAGCATTGTCATCCTTAATGAAGTAAAATATCTAATTTGATTCTAGTGCCTCCATCTTTACTATATACATGTTTGTTTTAAAAGTGTATACACTTATATGACTTATATCTTATATGCATTATTGCATTTCTATCAATGTGAAATCTTTTCTTTCTTGATTTATTAGATGAATTTTTCCTTATTTGCTAATACTGTGACACTTTTAATTAAAAAATGTTTACAAAAATTACAAACACTTTCTTTTATGACAATCTGAATAGCTATATCTTATTACTTTACCGGTACCTATTCCCTTTGTTCCTTTTATATTTACTACACTTTATTTTTTAGGTAGTCCCTTTAAATTTTCTCTATGATTTAAAAAGTCATAGGCACCACTACTTTACTCTCACAAACAAAACCTACCAATTAGGCAATTATTCACTTTGGTGAACTTTACACAACCAAAACTAAATGAAGTACGAAGTAAATTTACTTCTATAGAGCAAATCAGCAAACAAAAGGAAATGCGACTACGCCCACAATTCTAATACTCGTAGCTCAATCGAACACGGGACGATGCGAGTATTACTTAACTAACCCATGCTAATAATAGCGAACTCAGATTTACAGTTAATGAAAGAGCAAGTTGTATCCATTCCAGACTGTCAAAACTCAAAAGAGAGAGTCACACACAACTACACACATTCACTCTTTCTCTATATCACTCGCTTCTCCCCCGTCCATTCACTGTTGTCATCAAATTCAAGATTACAACAGCTATAACTGAGCAACACCGGATTTCTTTTCTTTCTTTCAAGATCCAAAATATTCCAGAATTCAAGATCCAATCTTCTTGTTTTAGGAAATGAAGTAGGCATTAAATTGAATTACCATTTAATTCAATTGGATATCCGATGAAGTTGAAGATGGGGTTCAGGAAACCCGTTTTATGTTTGCTTTTTATTACAGTAGTTTCCCCCATTCTTCTTTACACCGACAAGCTTGGCATCCTTTTCCCTTCTTTTTGTAAGAACCCTTTTCCCTTTTTTTTAATTTACTTCTCAAAATTCATCTAAATTTAATTTATTTTTGGGTGATTTTTGTTGGGAATTTGTGTTTTTGGGTTTATTTTGGTGCAGCTAGTGAAGAGCTTGATGGAAGTGAAGAAATTTCCACCTTTGTGAGTGCTTTTAAATTTTACTTTATCCTTTTTTTTTTTCAAAAACAAAACAAAAAAAAAAAAAAAAAATGAAAATTGATTGATGATATTGGAACTTCCTTTCAATTTTGTCTGTCAGGCTTTCACTGGTCGCACAGGGCAACTTAATGTGCTTCCTCAGGTAAATTGAATTAGTTTATATAGTGTGGGTTGAAACTAATATTGCAGTTTTTGTATTTAATTTTAATTTTGTTAATTTTTTGCTGTTTAATTACTTTTTAGGAAAACGAAATGTTTGTTAAGGAACCTGTTGGAATAGTTTATTCCCACAAATCTTCCAAACTAAAACCCTCCATGCAAGGTTAGCTGTCTTACTAATTTGTTAAGTTTGTGTGAATTGTGATTCATTTCAGTAGTTAAAATGGTTAATCTAAACAGTATTTTGCTTGATTAGATGGCAAGGTGCTGGAAGTGCAGCCAGTGGAGGTGGAGCACAAAAACCGCATATTATCTACTACTACAACTAGCAGTGGGAGTAATAGTACTGAATTAGAAAACCCCATCAGACAGGTAACAGATGTGAATGAGGTGAAAGGAGTTGATGGCTTGCAGATGGTGGAAAATGCGGATGTCAATGTCAATGCCAAGGACAACGATCCCTCACACCTTGCTTCCAACAATCTGGTATTCATATTTTTATAAGCTGTGTCAATTTTTTCTTATGCTTTAAGTTTTGATTGCCTTACAACTTTATGTGAATCCATTGGGTATATGTCCATACCCATGTTGGAGTGCCGAGGATCATTTGACTTATATAATTGAGCTGGTAAAATGAAGAGTATGAGTAACATAGGCCACCATGGATGTTGGTAATTAGTGCAGATTTATCATGGAATTTCTTATCTTTGCTTTCCTTCCGTCTCCACGCTTGCCTTTCTTCTGGCTGTGGAAGGTATAGTATATGTCTGCAACATGCCTTTCCTGTCAGCTTATATTCCTTTTCTCCGTCCTTCAGGAGACAAAACCTAAGATGCAATCTGTCGAAAAAGGTGGCAATGTTGGCACAAGAGAAACTGCCAATCGAGGTCATAAAAATGAGAAGAATGGTAACCAAGTGGACAGCGTGTCTAATACTCAAGTTCGGTATCTGAAAGATCAACTGATCAGGGCAAAGGTCTATCTTTCACTCACAGCAACAAGAAGCAATGCTCATTTCATCAGGGAACTTCGACAAAGGATAAAAGAAGTTCAAAGGGCAGTTGGTGATGCAACAAAGGATTCAGATCTTCCAAGGAAGTATGTATTGATATTAACTCCCTTGTTAGTTATTACTAAGACTCACTGTGGAGTCAAAATACTCTTTGAATCTTGTGTCTGTGTCATAATTTGATTACTTGGTTCAACTGCAGTGCCCATGAGAAACTGAGAGCGATGGATCAGACATTGGCCATGGGCAAACAAATTCAAGATGATTGTGCAGCTTTGGTGAAGAAGCTCCGTGCTATTCTTCACTCAACAGAAGAGCAGCTCCGTGTTCACAGAAAGCAGACCATGTTCTTGACTCAGTTAACAGCAAAAACACTCCCCAAGGGTCTTCACTGTCTTCCTTTGCGCCTCTCAACTGAATTCTATGCCCTGAATTATTCTCAGCAGCAATTCCCTTACCAAGAGAAATTGGATGACCCTCAGCTGTATCATTATGCCTTATTTTCGGACAATGTGTTGGCGGCTGCAGTGGTTGTTAATTCTACTGTATCACATGCTAAGGTAAGATATGCCAAAGATCTTTCTCTGTTTAGTTTTGCACCTTATAGCTATTAGGAAGTTTAATGGAAGACAAATCATGGTGTATACACTGAACTATGAATATTTGTGGATATTTCTGCTTTTGTACCTATTAGTATTTGATCCATTTTGTAATTGCTAAACTATTTTCTAGATGTCTATTAACCTCTTAGCAAATATATTTATGTTTGCCTGGCTTGTTAGTCAAAATATTTAAGAGCTTCCGCCTTGACTTTTTGCGTCTGGCAGGACCCATCAAGGCATGTTTTCCACATTGTTACCGATAGACTCAATTATGCAGCAATGAGGATGTGGTTCTTAGTTAATCCTCCGAGTAATGCTGCCATTCATGTTCAGAATGTTGAAGAATTTACATGGTTGAATTCAAGTTACAGCCCGGTACTCAAGCAGTTGGGATCTCCATCTATGATAGACTACTACTTCAAGACACACCGTGCTGCTTCAGATTCAAATTTAAAATTCCGGAACCCAAAATATCTGTCTATTCTCAACCATCTTCGATTTTATCTGCCAGAGATATTCCCAAAGCTGAATAAAGTTCTGTTCTTGGATGATGATATAGTTGTCCAGAAGGACCTTACCAGGCTTTGGTCCATTGATCTGAGGGGGAATGTGAATGGTGCTGTTGAGACCTGCGGTGAAACTTTTCATCGTTTTGACCGATATCTTAATTTCTCTAACCCTCTTATCTCAAAGAATTTTGACCCCCATGCTTGTGGATGGGCATATGGAATGAACATTTTTGATTTGGAAGAGTGGAAGAGACAAAACATCACTGAGGTGTACCACAATTGGCAAAAGCTGGTAAGACTTCGAGATGCATGCTCATTTGCTTAGTCTTTATGGTTTGGTTGCTTTTACAGTGCATGTGTCTGAGCTTCTTAGCTAATTTGATATTTTCTACTGTCTTTGCAGAATCATGATAGACAATTGTGGAAGCTCGGAACTTTGCCTCCGGGCCTCATTACATTTTGGAAACGTACCTACCCTCTACATCGATCATGGCATGTGCTTGGTCTAGGCTATAATCCTAGTGTCAACACAAGGGACATTGAGAAGGCCGCGGTTGTTCATTACAATGGCAACATGAAACCGTGGCTTGAGATTGGGATGCCTAAGTACCGAGGTTATTGGTCAAAATACATTGATTATGACCAAGTATATATGCGGGAGTGCAACATCAATCCCTAACTGGCTCTTGCATCTGTCTTGCGAGCACACATCTTTAGTTCCTAAGCTACTGTTTTGCTGCTAGTTACCAGAGTTTATTTTGGAGTATCATGTTCTTACACGATACGTGTGTCAGTGTAGAATTACTACGTAATATATCTTAAACGCACAACTCCTATGGTAAATACATTCTTTTGTATATTTTTGTGACCGGGACTGCCCATGTATTTGTAAATGATCAAGTAATTTTTGTTTTTTTTTGTTTTTTTTTTTTTTTGGGCAATTCTCTTGGTGTTTTTGTACAATGTAAGAACGATTTTGTTTGGAAGTAATTTATGAATGTAGTTTCCATTTCTACGTTGATATCCCTAAGGCTACGGGTGTGTTTCAATCATAGGTAACTTTGAGCTTCTTTGAAAGTGTATTGAGCGTCACATTTGAATAAGAACAAATATAATAGATAGAATTTCAAACATTACGATTAGAAAAGACTCTCTATAGCGAACCCCCACTGACTTCCCACCGCTTACTTTTTCTCAAGCCCATGCTCGCCGGCGAGTCTAGTCCTTTAGTTTCCGTTTAGTTTTTTTTTTTCTTTCTTTGATGGTGGTCTCTTGGTGAAGAAAACAGCGGATTTTGCAGAGCCATTCGTCATCTTCTTCAGTGGTTCATCAATTGTGGTGTAGAAAACAAGGAGCGAAGGCTATTCTTAACGTCGCCGTCGAAAGAAATTCCGTTAATCCCGACAATAAAGGTGAAGTTAAGGCTAGGGTTTCCTTGCTTTTTTCCAAGGCTCGGTTCAGTGAGGTGGTTCTTACGTTGGCCGTGATGATTGTTCTTGGTGTTAGGTCAATTTCTGCCGGTGAGGTTTATTTTGGTTCACATTGCTTTATCCTGTTGATCCATGTCTTTGCCCCGGTTATTAGTAGTGGTTAGTATGTTGTTCTTGGTTTTCCTTAGTTTATTTATGTTGACCTTGTGTAATTTGCTGTTTTTTTTTTCTTTTTTTAATAATTCTCTTTCTCTGCTTGGTCATGAGTTAGAATTTCATAGGGTAGTTCTAGTTATGGAGGTTAACGAAGTGTTGTCGTTGTTCTCGGAGCCTTATAGGTCGACTTTAGGGGTTGTAAGGTTAAGCAATCCCTTGTTAGTTGGGTTGGTGGTCCGTTTGGTTGCCTTTTCGAGTTGTGACTATGTTCCCCTGACAGTTAAAATTTTTCGGGAGAAGGGGAGTTTTCAATCAGGTTTTTTGGTTCCTTTCTCCGGGAGTATAGGTGGTTTTACTTGTTTTGTTTTCCAGGGGGTTGAGTTACGTTTGCAATTGGAAGAGTTTCCTTGCATTTGTTGATTGCAGGGGGAGAGTGGTGTTGAGGGAAGTGATTTGTTTGTTGTCCTTGTTGCTTGGTTGTGGGATGATATGGGCATTCATATAATTGCTATCATCCATTTGTTGTTTGTATTGGTGATGACAAAGCCAGACATCGCTATAAATCAAAATTTTGAAGGAGGCTCCCCATCTTCTGGGGTAAGCAAATGTAACACCCTAGAAATTCCTTCCTTTTCAAAATACCTATTTTGCCCTTTTTAAAATACGAAATAGGAAATTCTAAGACATTACCGCCACCGTGATAACGGCTAAGACAATTATCAAAGACACACAGCGGAAGACTCGTTTCAAAAGTCCTTTCTAAAACATAAAACCAACCTCAAGTCAAATAAACCAACGAAAGTAATTCAAACCAAAGTTAAACGAAGTCAACCTACAACTTGGAACCATTGTAGGCCCTTTTCAAAACCAAACCAAATAATTAAAATCATTGTGTTAGTCTCTCAAGCAATAAATAATATTCAAAGCAAATAAACACATCATATCCTCATGAAAACTAAACAAGATTTGCCCCTCACTCATGCCCCAACATGAATATGCCGCATCACCTTAAAAGCTTCTCTTTACTTTGTTCCCACTACTCGCCATTAGAAATGGATCGTCGTAGTGCCAAGATAAAGATAAGGCCAAACAAACATACAAACACACACAATCATCAGCAATGCTGAGTACATAAGCGTAAACGAAGCACACTAACATGCTTACAACCTATCATCATACAACTTACCTTTTTGCACCTGTTTTCAAGCATACAACATACAACTCATACAATGGACAATCTAATTGTTCATTTCATTGATTACACGTCGAACAGGTTTCCAACCAAATCCCTACCCCAAATAAATTGAGGTAAACTACTCTGGGAGCTAACCGGGTAGGCATAAATGTCATTTGTGAGTGAAGGACGTCCTGCGCATAAAATAAAAAGGAAAATACAACATTTTGTACTTCCAGTAGAAGCTATGGTTAAATATAAAACCTCATAACTCCCCCATATGTTCATACTCGAGGTATATACGTTCCAAGAGTTTTAGTGCGTAATATGTTTCAATTCACTTTACATTCTTTACATATTTTAGACTTGGTGATGACTCTCAATCCACAACACAATTAATCAATACAATTCATTCAAGTAATCAAACATTCCAATTTAATTCTTGAATAATTAGTGATCACAAATAATTTAATGTTGAATACTTTTTAAACTACCTCGGTGTTAAAAAAACCTTAAGCGCATAAAGCACCGCAAATCCTATCCCTCGGTGTTTAGAACACCTTAAGTGCACTTAGGGATTGCAATATATTTTATCCCTGTGTACTTAGACACTTAATAGCTCAATTTCCATGCTTTTAGCATCAATAAAAATTATATGAACCATAACAAAATTCCATTTTATTTTTCCAAACCAAATTAAACAAATAGTTTAATAAAGTAAGCCTTTAAACATGCCAATAATAAAAGTATGGTTCATTAACAATATTCCAATACCACCAATTCCAATATAAATTATTTCAATCAATCATGCTTGACAAATCATGCTTCACAAATATTTCACCAAAAACCATTCCAATTCAATAAATCCAATTCAATTCACCAATTCTAACCAATTCCTAACATGATACTAATTTAGAATCAACTAAAATAAATCCTAGCATGCTTCTACACGCTTAATAAATATCGAGTACGCGTACGTACCTTGTATATGATCTTAAAATCGCCACGACTACACAAAATCGCTCACTTAGAAGTCTCCTACAACCCACAATTACCAATAGACATTAATACCTATTCATATCAAATTTCCAGCAATATAAACACTCTTTAAAATACTTTTAAACCCTCTAAAACATGCTGAAATTTATTTAGAACCACTTACTTTTTTTCCCAATTAATGGGTAATTAAAATCTTTTCAAGAAAACTTCAATTTAGCTTCTATATAAATATTCTAGCAATATAAAAACCCTTAAACTTGCTGTAATTTAATTTAAAAACATTAATTTTAATAGTATTAATCAACCACAATTAATTTCCTTTAATAAACATCAATTTAGAAACCTAGGGTTTATCAATTTGAGGCTTTTTCATATAAAAACCAAATCTGAAAATTATATATGCTAAACATCATAAAAAAAATCATAATTTTATCACATAATACCAAAAATAATAATTAATTAAAGCTAGATTAATTTAAAATAAGGAGTTTTTTTTTTATTTTAAACACACGCACGCACACACGCAGGGAAGGGGCTGCTGCCGCCCTCCTCGTCGGTGGCTACTATTGTCGATTGTCGCTGGTGGCGGTGGCCGACCGGTGGGTGGCAGTGGTGGTGGTGGCCGACCACCTTGGTGGTTGTGTGTGAGGTGTTTGTGAGGGAGAGGGGAATTAAAGGACGAAAAATAAGAGAGAGAGAGAGAGAGAGAGGGAGAGAGAGAGAGAGAGAGAGAGAGAGAGAGAGAGAGAGAGTTTACCTCTTTGGAATTATCACCTTGGGTAAAAATCTGATTTTTGCCTTTGTGTGAGTATTTATACTTCTATCTAAAACCCTCCCACTTGGTTTTCCTTTTTTACCCTTAATGATTCTCACTTCCACTCAAATTGGTCTATTGGCTTTATTTAAAATTCTTTTGACTTTAAAACTCCTTTATAAATTAAAATATGCCCCAAAGTTTACAAATATAAAAATAAAATATTTCTAGACCATATAAATAAATAGTAAATGGGTTTTTAATTTAATAACACCTTTTTAAATATTAAAATACCATAAATAATTCATTTCAAATTTTTTAAATACGTTATAAAATAATACTTTAAATTTATAAATGTATAAAAATATGGGGTAATACAACAAATTCCTTCATTTTCTTGCAATCTCTGTTAGTAGGGTTGCAAGAAGAGATCCTGCATTGGGATGCACGGTTTCTCATGGTAGAGTCGTTAGAGTATATGACTCTATTGGGTTTGTTCCTAGATTCCTAGTGTAATACCTAGTATTGTTGAACCGTATTTTCTAATTAATTAATTAATTATTATTTTCAAAAAAGGGTATTTTAGTAATTTATTTTAATATTTGAATTTTTGGAGCCAAAATAAAGTATTTTAAAACTTAATTATTATTTTTGGATTTTGAATGAGATTTATTATCCACTTATTTTATTTTAAAAACCGGATTATTTATATATATATATCGGATATTTTAATTAAACAAAATTATATTTTATTATTTAATTAAGTGGTCCGAAAATTCCTAATGATTAGCTAGGGATTTCGGATTTTCCTAGTGTGGAAAATATGATTTTCTTAGTTAATATATTTAGTGAATAATTGGTATTCTCTTAATTAATTATTTTATACAATATATTATTTACACAATTATTTTTAATCCCTTAAATCTAGAAAAATAATTCCCTAAATACTACATGAGGGGTCCGAAAATTTGAGCTATGGAAGCTCAAAATTTTCGGCCACCTTGGTTGGATTTTGGGTGATTTATTTTGGTAATTTGTGTTTTTAAATATCTCCCTTAAATCTATTATTTTTTCTTAATTCTTATTTCCCATCTCCTAACTATTTGATCATCTTATTTCCCTACCTTATATCATCCTTGATTATTCCCCAAGCAAAGACTTTTTGCCATATTATTTTTCATGACAACACACTTTCCTTAAATTAATTATTATTAGTCACCTTAATATTAAACTTTCCATAATTCTTTAGCTCTCTTCTCCAAGTAATTTCCTTAATCCTTTTTACCATAATTCTTCCTACATTCTCCTACCATAATTCTTGCATGAGCTAGGCTATAAATACCCTTGATGCATGGCTAAACACTCACACCAAATTCTCTCTTAATTTCTCTCTAATTCTCTTCTCTTTTTCTCACCTTTTCTTGCGCCAACCACCACCGATCACCACCCTCCGCCACTACCACCGCCAGCTGCTACCAGCCGCCACCACCAGCCACCTGCCGGAAGGCTG